CTCTTATAACCAGAGATACCTTCTATTCTTCCTGACTCTTATTACCAGAGATACCTTCTATTCTTCCTGACTCTTATAACCAGAGATACCTTCTATTCTTCCTGACTCTTATAACCAGAGATACCTTCTATTCTTCCTGACTCTTATTACCAGAGATACCTTCTATTCTTCCTGACTCTTATAACCAGAGATACCTTCTATTCTTCCTGACTCTTATAACCAGATATACCTTCTATTCTTCCTGTCTCTTCTTACCAGAGATACCTTCTATTCTTCCTGACTCTTAGAACCAGAGATACCTTCTATTCTTCCTGACTCTTATAACCAGATATACCTTCTATTCTTCCTGACTCTTATAACCAGAGATACCTTCTATTCTTCCTGACTCTTATTACCAGAGATACCTTCTATTCTTCCTGACTCTTATTACCAGAGATACCTTCTATTCTTCCTGACTCTTATAACCAGAGATACCTTCTATTCTTCCTGACTCTTATTACCAGAGATACCTTCTATTCTTCCTGACTCTTATAACCAGAGATACCTTCTATTCTTCCTGACTCTTATTACCAGAGATACCTTCTATTCTTCCTGACTCTTATTACCAGAGATACCTTCTATTCTTCCTGACTCTTATAACCAGAGATACCTTCTATTCTTCCTGACTCTTATTACCAGAGATACCTTCTATTCTTCCTGTCTCTTATAACCAGAGCTTCCTTCTATTCTTCCTGACTCTTAGAACCAGAGCTACCTTCTATTCTTCCTGACTCTTAGATCCAGAGCTACCTTCTATTCTTCCTGCTGACTCTTATTACCAGAGCTACCTTCTATTCTTCCTGACTCTTATAACCAGAGATACCTTCTATTCTTCCTGTCTCTTATAACCAGAGCTACCTTCTATTCTTTTTGACTCTTATAACCAGAGCTACCTTCTATTCTTCCTGCTGACTCTTATTACCAGAGCTACCTTCTATTCTTCCTGACTCTTATAACCAGAGATACCTTCTATTCTTCCTGCTGACTCTTATTACCAGAGATACCTTCTATTCTTCCTGACTCTTATTACCAGAGATACCTTCTATTCTTCCTGACTCTTATAACCAGAGATACCTTCTATTCTTCCTGTCTCTTATAACCAGAGATACCTTCTATTCTTCCTGCTGACTCTTATAACCAGAGATACCTTCTATTCTTCCTGACTCTTATAACCAGAGATACCTTCTATTCTTCCTGACTCTTATTACCAGAGATACCTTCTATTCTTCCTGACTCTTATTACCAGAGATACCTTCTATTCTTCCTGACTCTTATAACCAGAGATACCTTCTATTCTTCCTGACTCTTATTACCAGAGATTACCTTCTATTCTTCCTGTCTCTTATAAACCAGAGCTTCCCTTCTATTCTTCCTGACTCTTAGAACCAGAGCTAACCTTCTATTCTTCCTGACTCTTAGATCCAGAGCTACCTTCTATTCTTCCTGCTGACTCTTATTACCAGAGCTACCTTCTATTCTTCCTGACTCTTATAACCAGAGATCCCTTCTATTCTTCCTGTCTCTTATAACCAGAGCTAACCTTCTATTCTTTTGACTCTTATAACCAGAGCTACCTTCTATTCTTCCTGCTGACTCTTATTACCAGAGCTACCTTCTATTCTTCCTGACTCTTATAACCCGAGATACCTTCTATTCTTCCTGCTGACTCTTATTACCAGAAGATACCTTCTATTCTTCCTGACTCTTATTACCAGAGATACCTTCTATTCTTCCTGACTCTTATAACCGAGATACCTTCTATTCTTCCTGTCTCTTATAACCAGAGGATACCTTCTATTCTTCCTGCTGACTCTTATAACACCAGAGATACCTTCTATTCTTCCTGACTCTTATTACCAGAGATACCTTCTATTCTTCCTGCTGACTCTTATAACCAGAGATACCTTCTATTCTTCCTGCTGACTCTTATTACCAGAGATACCTTATTCTATTCTTCTGACTCTTATTACCAGAGCTACCTTCTATTCTTCCTGCTGACTCTTATAACCAGAGATACCTTCTATTCTTTCCTGACTCTATTGACCAGAGATACCTTCTATTCTTCCCTGACTCTTATAACCAGAGATACCTTCTATTCTTCCTGACTCTTATTAACCAGAGATACCTTCTATTCTTCCTGACTCTATAACCAGAGATACCTTCTATTCTTCCTGACTTTATAACCAAGATAAACCTTCTATTCTTCCTGACTCCTTATAACCAGAGATACCTTCTATTTCCTTCTTCTGACTCTTATTACCAGAGATACTTCTATTCTTCCTGACTCTTATAACCAGAGATACCTTCTATTCTTCCTGCTCTTATAACCAGAGATACCTTCTATTCTTCTGACTCTTATTACCAAGTACCTCTATTCTTCCTGACTCTTATAACAGAGATACCTTCTATTCTTCCTGACTCTTATAACCAGAGATACCTTCTATTCTTCCTGACTCTATACCAGAGATACCTTCTATTCTTCCTGACTCTTATAACCAGAGATACCTTCTATTCTTCCTGACTCTTATAACCAATTACCTTCTATCTTCGTCCTTCTTACCAGAGATACCTTCATCTTCCTGACTCTTAAACCAGAGATACCTTCTATTCTTCCTGACTCTTATACCAGATATACCTTCTATTCTTCCTGCTCTTATACCAAGATACCTTCTATTCTTCCTGACTCTTATTACCAGAGATACCTTCTATTCTTCCTGACTCTTATTACCAGAGATACCTTCTATTCTTCCTGCTGACTCTTATTACCAGAGATACCTTCTATTCTTTCCTGCTGACTCTTATTACCAGAGATACCTTCTATTCTTCCTGATGACTCTTATAACCAGAGATACCTTCTATTCTTCCTGCTGACTCTTATAACCAGAGATACCTTCTATTCTTCCTGCTGACTCTTATAACCAGAGATACCTTCTATTCTTCCTGACTCTTATTACCAGAGATACCTTCTATTCTTCCTGGCTCTTACCAGAGATACACTACCGTTCAAATTGATCAGAAATACAGTGTAGACATTGTTAATGTTGTAAATGGCTATTTTAGCTGGAAACGTCTGATTTGTAATGGAATATCTACATAGGCGTACAAGGCCCATTATCAGCAACCATCAGTCCTGTGTTCCAATGCACGTTGTGTTTGCTAATCCAGTTTATCATTTTAAAAGGCTAATTGATCATTAGAAAACCCTTTGCAATTAGGTTCGCACGCTGAAACTGTTGTGCTGATTAAAGAAGCAATAAAACTGGCCTTCTTGAGACTAGTTGAGTATCTGGAGCATCAGCAATTGTGGGTTCAATTACAGGCTCAAAATGGCCAGAAACAAATAACTTTCTTCTGAAACTCGTCAGTCTATTCTTGTTCTGAGAAATGAAGGCTATTCCATGCGAGAAATTGCCAAGAAACTTAAGATCTCGTACAACGCTGTGTACTACTCCCTTCACAGAACAGCGCAAACTGGCTCTAACCAGAATAGAAAGAGGAGTGGGAGGCCCCGGTGCACAACTGAGCAAGAGGACAAATACGTTAGAGTCTCTAGTTTGAGAAACAGATGCCTCACAGGTCCTCAACTGGCAGCTTCATTAAATAGTACCCGCAAAACACCAGTCTCAACGTCAACAGTGAAGAGGCGACTCCGGGATGCTGACCTTCTAGGCAGAGTTGCAAGAAAAAGCCATATCTCAGACTGGCCAATAAAAAGAAAAGATGAAGATGGGCAAAAGAACACAGACACTGGACAGAGGAATACTTTTTCTTTGCAACTCTGCCTAGAAGGTCAGCATCCCGGAGTTATCAGTGAACAGTGTATAGATAATTCAATATGTGTTGTATTCAGTAGAGGTGAATGTCAGTGAACAGTGTGTAGTTAATTCAATATGTGTTGTATTCAGTAGAGGTGAATGTCAGTGAACAGTGTGTAGTTAATTCAATATGTGTTGTATTCAGTAGAGGTGAATATCAGTGAACAGTGTGTAGTTAATTCAATATGTGTTGTATTCAGTAGAGGTGAATATCAGTGAACAGTGTATAGATAATTCAATGTGTGTTGTATTCAGTAGAGGTGAATATCAGTCACTGGTGTTTTGTGTAGCACATTGGCATAACGTTTAGAAAAGGGGAAAAGGCCTCCGGGGGCGAACAGGCCTCTGAATATTTCACCCGTGGCAGTGACATCACAATACTAGTTGGTATGGTGACGCTGGGCCCGGTGTCGTATCGTTAGTCAATTGTTGCTACCGTGGCAACACTTAACACACCCTTTCTCTCTTTCTCCTCCATTCAAACAGGTGCCACATGCTCCTACCACACCCCCTATCAGCTTACATCGCTAGCTAGCGGTGGCTTAAGTTAGCTGAAGTTTGTAGTGGCTGTTTCTCCTGGCCCATAAACCATCTAACATCAAGTTGTAAAATACTAACCTTTCCCTTTAATATCACTTTCCCTTCCCCCTCTCTACCCCCCCCCCTCCCCCTCCCCCTCTACCCCCCTCCTCCCCCCCTCCCCCTCTGTCTACCCCCCCTCTCTACCCCCTCCTTCCCCTCTCTAACCCCCCTCTCCCCCTCTCTCCCACTCTACCCCCCTCCCGCCTCCTCTCTAAACCCCCCCTCCTTCCCCCTCCCCTCCCTCTCTACCCCTCCTCCCCTCCCCCCTCCCCCTCTACCCCCCTCCTCCCCCCTCTCTACCCCCCCTCTCTTCCCCCCCCCTGCTCTACACCCCCCCCTCCCCCTCTCTAACCTACCCCCCCCTCTCTTCCCCCCCCCCTCTCTAACAAACAACCCCTCCCCCCTCCTCTCTACCCCTCCTCCCCCTCTCTAACCCCCCTCCCCACTCTCTACCCCCCCCCCTCCCCCTCCTACCCCTTCCTCCCCCCCCTTCTCTACCCCCAACCCTCTAACCCCCCTCCCCCTCTCTACCCCTCTCCCCCACCTCTCTAAACCCCTCTCAAGCGTGCAGCACCAGTGGCCCCTCCCCAGTCCCTCTCTCAGTACCAGGACGTTGAGGACCCAGAGTATGAAGACTTCAGAGCGGAGGCCAGGCTCCAGAGAGGCAGACAGCTGGAGAGCTTCAACAAGGCCGCAGAGGCCTACAGGCAGGGGCGCAAAGACGTAGCCTCCTACTACGCTCAACAGGTAGGAGAGAGGCCTACAGGCAGGGACGCAAAGACCTAGCCTCCTACTACGCTCAACAGTAGAGAGAGAGGCCTACAGCAGGACGCAAGACGTAGCCTCCTCTACTACGCTCAACAGTAGGAGAGGCCTACAGGCAGGGACGCAAAGACCTAGCCTCCTACTACGCTCAACAGGTAGGAGAGAGGCCTACAGGCAGGGGCCCAAAGACCTAGCCTCCTACTACGCTCAACAGGTAGGAGAGGCCTACAGCATGGGCGCAAAGACCTAGCCTCCTACTACGCTCACAGGTAGGAGAGGCCTACAGGCGGACGCAAAGACCTAGCCCTCCTACTACGCTCACAGGTAGGAAGAGGCCTACAGGCAGGGACGCAAAGACCTAGCCTCCTACTACGCTCAACAGGTAGGAGAGGCCTACAGGCAGGGGCGCAAAGACCTAGCCTCCTACTACGCTCAACAGGTAGGAGAGGCCTACAGGCAGGGACCTAGCCTCCTACTACGCTCAACAGGTAGGAGAGAGGCCTACAGGCAGGGGCGCAGAGACCTAGCCTCCTACTACTACGCTCAACGGTAGAGAGAGCCTACAGGCAGGGAACGCAAGACCTAGCCTCCCTACTACGCTCAACAGGTAGGAGAGAGGCCTACAGGCAGGGACGCAAAGACCTAGCCTCCTACTACGCTCAACAGGTAGGAGAGGCCTACAGGCAGGGACGCAAAGACCTAGCCTCCTACTACGCTCAACAGGTAGGAGAGGCCTACAGGCAGGGGCGCAAAGACCTAGCCTCCTACTACGCTCAACAGGTAGGAGAGGCCTACAGGCAGGGACGCAAAGACCTAGCCTCCTACTACGCTCAACAGGTAGGAGAGAGGCCTACAGGCAGGGACGCAAAGACCTAGCCTCCTACTACGCTCAACAGGTAGGAGAGGCCTACAGGCAGGGACGCAAAGGACCTAGCCTCCTACTACGCTCAACAGGTAGGAGAGAGGCCTACAGGCAGGGACGCAAAGACCTAGCCTCCTACTACGCTCAACAGGTAGGAGAGGCCTACAGGCAGGGGCGCAAAGACCTAGCCTCCTACTACGCTCAACAGGTAGGAGAGGCCTACAGGCAGGGACGCAAAGACCTAGCCTCCTACTACGCTCAACAGGTAGGAGAGGCCTACAGGCAGGGACGCAAAGACCTAGCCTCCTACTACGCTCAACAGGTAGGAGATAGCCTACCAGGCAGGGACGCAAAGACCTAGCCTCCCTACGCTCAACAGGTTAGGAGAGAGGCCTACAAGGCAGGTACGCCAAAGGACCTAGCCTCCTACTACGCTCAACCTGTAGGAGGAGGCCTACAGGCAGGGGACGCAAAGACCTAGCCTCCTACTACGCTCAAAGGTAGGAGAGAGGCCTACAGGCAGGGACGGGCAAAGACCTAGCCTCTACTACCTCCAACAGGTAGGAGAGGCCTACAGGCAGGGACGCAAAGACCTACCTTCCTACTAACCTCACATGTAGGAGAGGCCTACAGGCAGGGACGCAAAGACCTAGCCTCCTACTACGCTCAACAGGTAGGAGAGGCCACAGGCAGGGACGCAAAGACCTAGCCTCCTACTACGCTCACACAGGTAGGAGAGGCCTACAGTGCAGGGACTGCAAAGGGACCTAGCCTCCTACTACGCTCAACAGGTAGGAGAGGCCTACAGGCAGGTCACCTAGCCTCCTACTACGCTCAACAGGTAGGAGAGGCCTACAGCAGGACGCAAAGACCTAGCCCTCCTACTAACGCTCAACAGGTAGGAGAGGCCTACAGCAGGGACGCAAAGACGTAGCCTCCTACTACGCTCAACAGGTATAGAGAGGCCTACAGGCAGGGACCTAGCCTCCTACTACGCTCAACAGGTAGGAGAGGCCTACAGGCAGGACGCAAAACGTAGCCTCCTACTACGCTCAACAGGTAGAGAGAGAGGCCTACAGGCAGGGACGCAAAGACGTAGCCTCCTACTACGCTCAACAGGTAGAGAGAGAGAGAGCGTGGGAAGTTATTTGGGTGAACAGTGTCTTGTTTCCTCACAGCTGGTTGTAATTTGAGTCAGTAGTTTTAAAGGGATACTTTGACATTTTGGCATTGAAGCCCTTTGTCTACTTCCCCAGAGTCAGGTGAACTCGTGGACGCCATTTTTATGTCTCTCTGTGGAGTTAAGAGGTCGTTTTGCGAGCCAATGCTAACTAGCGTCTATGGGGTGCTAGCATGCTAGCAGATACCCCATAGACTTCCAGTCATTGCACTAACGCTAGTTAGCGATTTGCGCTGGCGCTAGTTAGCAACTTCCTT